AGTTTCAAAGTCTGGAATGTTAGTTGGGTGACATATATATTTGATCAAAAATAAAGATTCAGGGCTGAGGTTGTGGCTCAGTGGTAGGGCACTCACCTAGCATGTGCAAGACCCTGGGTTCAACCCTCAGCACCACATAAAAATAAATAAAAATGAAGGTATTGTGTCTAACTACAACTAAAAAATATATATTTTTTAAAAATAATAATAAAAAAATGAATATTCAAAGCATGCTTGCTTTCCTGCTTAAGCTTTCCAGGGTAGAATGGGATAATTATTTCAGGTATTTCAGAGAGTATAAGATGTTTGGGGTATTCAGAGGACTTCTTCTGGTAGTCTGGGAACTTGTTTTTTTGTTTGTTTGTTTGTTTGTTTTTGGGCTTGCAAGACAGTGATGAAGTTCCCTAAACTCTTGAGAGGAATTTATTTTGGTATTGAAGAAAGAATAAAATGATAATATTTTATTGTTTTATGCAAATAAATATCAAACCCTCTTTTCAATTCTTCTTTCCAGAAGGCTTATCAGGTTGGTCGCAGTCTGTGATAGGGAACCATCCAATGCATCAACAATTATCAGACCCAAGCACATTCTCCCAGCACCAACCAATGGAGAGAGATGATTCTGGAATGATAGCCCCCTCTAACATTTTTCACCAGCCTATGGCAAGCGGTTTTGTGGATTTTTCTAAAGTGAGTTGATAAACATCATTATAATTTGTTTGGTACTTTGCCATTCAATGTAGTTACATGTTAAGGAGTAGTGTGTATTGAAATGTCTCCCTTTGTTTGCATCCCTGCCAGTTCTTTTGTTCAGTTTCAGTAGTGGGTCATAATGTCTACACCTTAAGTGTTTGAGTTTTTCTGTTTTTGTGTTCTACCACAACTTCGAGGGAGGCCTCCATATCTTTAAAAAGCTGGCTGTGATCTTCAATGCTTTCTTGTTTGCTCTGACAGCTTTCTGGCTGCTATAAAGCCAAATTATTGCTATAAACATTCACATAGCTTTTTTTTTTTTTTAAAGAGAGAGTGAGAGAGGAGGGAGAGAGAGAGAGAATTTTTAATATTT